ATATGATTTCTCACATGTTGAAGGTTATTTAAGAATTTTCCCGCATTGAAATTGTCCTCGCTTTCAAATCCGACAGGGCGTGAAGTGATAAGTGCTCGTTGTGTATAAATAAATATAACTATAGTTGAAAAAAAATGGAACATTCCGGTAGTTTAATAGATTAAGATTGCGCCGCGTAGGGTTGTGGATATAATATACATACAAAATATTTTTAAATACATATATATATACCCTAGTTAATATATAGGCTATATGTATATATATATGGAATTTTCTCTCATCCAGTTCACGTTCACCTGGATTTCATTCGATAAATACCACCTATTTTTTTTTATCATTATTTTTCTTTTCCTTTTCTTTTTTGCAACGTAGAATTATCTATTAGCTGTCATAATAATATTTCTAATCTTGAAACTGATTTCTATATGTCTATAACAAGTTGAGGATTTATGTACTATGCGCAAGTAAAATCAGAATTTTCAATTGATTCACTTGGATAAGAAAATTTTTTCTTTTTCTTCAATAATACTTGATGCAAGTTGAGGACGAAATTTAAAATGAAGACAGAATTTTATTTATTATACATTTTTGTTGGAAAAAAAAATTAATAATTATAATTAATTTTATTTTTTTTCACTGTGAAAACACCTTAAAAGTATAATGGTTCTTTTATAATAAAGTTTAATATTATTCCAATTGTAGAAGTACCCTAAAAGTAATGGTCATTTTAGAATTAATTTTAATATTAATCCGATTGTAGAAGTACCCTAAGATTAATTAAAATTAATAATATTTTTTTCAATTGTGGAAACACCCTAAAAGTAATGGTCCTTTTATAGTAGTTTAATATTATTCTGATCGTAGAAGTACCCTACAAGTAATGGTCATTTTACAATAAATTTTAATAATAATCCGATTGTAGAAGTACCCTAAGAGTAATAGTCATTCCACAATAAATATATAAAAACCCCTAAAGTAATAGTAATTCCACAATAAATATTCAGAAACAAAAATTCTATAATTTAATGAAAAAAAATAAAATAATTTGCCATCACAAAAGGTACAATCTGTTAATAATTTTGAAGAATATAAAAAAAGTAACTTTTGGAAAAATATGTGTGTGAATTTTTTTTTTTTAAAGCAAAACGTTTAGCGTTTTCTTGATATTGCGAAATAAGACATTCACGCAAAGTAGCCAATGACGCGGCAAAGGCTTCTGGTGTTTACACTACTGTTTAGTTTTCTGAAAATAAAAGAGCAAAGAGAGGGATCTTTGCATTTTGTCGGGTGTTTGACGAAAAAATTATATAAAATTAACACTTAACAAATTAAACAAATCGGTTGGCTCATCGCAAGAGACAAATGGCATGTGGACGAGTCAATATATAAATATGTATTTAGTTTTTTTTAAATGTAAAAAGTTTTCTTTTAATTTTCCATTTTATTAATTAATTTTGTTTACTACTTGAATTTCTATTTTGTTATTTGATATTTTTTATTTCACACTATTATCTATTATCCTACTGTTCAAATTATTTTAATCTACAAATTTTGATGTAAAATTCTTTCCATTTTGTCAAAAAATCATAAAAAAAGAGGTTATATTGTGGAAGTACCTTAAGACTATAATTATACAATAATACCATTGTAGAAATGGCTTAATAGTAATTGTCATCTTACAGTAGTTCAATAATAATTTTATTGTGCAAATATACTGAAAGTATTGTAGAGGCTACATTGTAGAATCACCTTAAAACTAATAATCATACAGTAATACCATTGTAGAAATAGCTTAAGAGTAATTGTCATTTTACAATAGTACAAGATTCATTCCATTCTTGAACTATTTTCAACGAAAAATATACTGAAAGTAATTTTTTTTATATTCTATTTTATTATTAATTCTATTGTAGAAATAATATAAAGTAATGGTCCTTCTACAACTCTGCTATAAAGATCCATTTCTGGATTCACCCTACAAGTAATGGTCTTTATTATAGGTGTACAAAATGTAATCAGATAATTGAATATAATAGGGCTCTAAAACAGTACAATTGTTTAAGCACCCTAATAGTAATGGCCCTTCTACAATTGTGCATTAAAATTATGGAACAATGCAAAAAGTAATTGTCCTTATATCCACTAACAGCAATAAACCAATTGAAAAAGGACTCTAAAAGTAATCGTCCTTATGCAACAATTTTTACACAATCAGATGTAATGGTTCGTCTACAATAGGTCTATATTCATTCAATTATTAGAATTTACGAAAAAGTATAGTTATACCATAATGTAGTTTAATTCCCATTGTAGAAATAAGCTGAAGTAATGCCCCCTCTACAATTCTACAATGTTTATTCTTTTATGAAACCATCTTGAAAATAAAGGTTATTTTACAATAGTGCGTACATAATCCAATAGACAATCCAATAGAGAATAACAATGTTCTTCTTTCATAACAAAAAAATGGTTCTTCTACAATAGTACAATCATAATTCCATTGTTTAAAGACCCTAAAAGTACAGTCCTTCTATAGAAGAGTAAAATGTCGGAAAAATAGGCTATAATTAATGGTCATTTTACAATTGTACATTATTAACCCAAGATTGTAACTAAATATTATGGTAATGTGGATAGAAAGCATTATGGTTCTTCTGCAGGAGTTCAATAAAAATTTTATTGTAAAGCATTCTAAAATTTATGGTCCTTCTACAACCTATAAGTAATGGTCACTTTACAATTGTACATTATTAACCCAAGATTGTAACTAAATGTTATGGTAATGTAGATAGAAAGTATTATGATTCTTCTGAATGAGTTCAATCAAAATTCCACTGTAAAGCACACTAAAGGTTATGGTCTTTCTACAACCTATAAATAATGGTCATTTTACAATTCTGTACTATTAATCGAATTAAGACTGTAACGAGGTATTACAGTAATGTGGACACAAAGTAATATGGTTCTTCTGCAAGAAGAACCTATAAGTATTGGTCATTCTACAATTCTGCACAATTAATCGAATTAAGACTGTAACGAAATATTACAGTAACATGGACTTGACAGAAAGTAATATGGTTCTTCTGCAAGAGTACAATTATAATATAACTATGAAACACACTAAAAATAATGGTCCTTCTACAATTATAGAAAAATAAATCCATTTTTATTTATTACCGCATTTTTGCTTCCTCATAGAGAAAGTTTTTACTATCTTTATTACTTTAATTATTTTTATTGTCATTAATGTAATTATTCAAATATTTACTTTAAAAACAGAAATTTCTAATCACAATTATTAACATTATTTCTTTATTAATTATTAATTCTGACTGATGTCTATTCGCGGTTGTCCGGTTGTCTTAAGTGTATATATATATGAATATTCTCTGGTCCATAGCAGTAATCGTCAACGCGTGGATTTACGTTCTTGACAGCTTGGCTGTTATGTTGGTGGAAAAAGAGAGAGGGAGAAGGAACGTGTTTTTCAGGGTCGACGCTAAGATACGTAGGCCCGTATAAAAATGCTTGCCTAGTCCGCTATTCAAGTATATATATATATATATATACATATAAAGAAAAATAAAATGAAAAATTTTTTTTCTATTCTTTTTTTTTATATATACATATATATAGCGCTAATACAGGACGATAACGATATAATGTTTACTTGTTGGCGTCTGTTAATATTCGCTGGCAGGAACTTCCACTTGTTTCGTTTAAAAGATATGCTTATTTTGCCTTTGTCTTATATATGGTCGAGACTTGCATGGAATTTCATTCAAGTTATACGTACACACATGTATTACATGTTTTTTTATTTATTTTTTTTTTTTTGTTGCCTTGCGTAATGTACAATAGGAGAGAATGGATTATTTTCGGAAAAAAAGAAACTTTATCTTACACTGCGCGACTAATTAAAAAAAGAGTGTCTTTTACTTTCCAAAATGCGAATGTAAAAAAATGTCATTGTAAAAATAACCTTAACTATACTAGTCCTTTTTTTCTATTATTTACACAATAGTCCTTGTACAATAGTTTTAAGAATTATCCCATTGTGGAAAGACCCTAAATTCTATATAAATGCGATTTAATGCAGTTTAACATTAATGCAATTGTAGAAGTACCCTAAGAGCAATGGCCCCCCTACAAAATAGTTTTAATAATCGTATTGTAGAAACACTATAAAGCTAACGGTTTTTCTACGCAATAGTTCAATATTTATCCCATTGTGGAACTACTGTAAAGTAATATACACGACTTTTAGTGTAGTTTAACATTAATGCCATTGTAGAAGTACCATAAGAGTAATAGTCCTTCCACAATAAATATATGAAAAGAATTGAGATATTGTTTAGACGAAAATTAATAATAAAAATTAGAAAAGAATAATAAGTAATATTACCATTAATCCCGTTGTAGAAGTACCATAAGAGTAATACTCCTTCCACAATAAACATATAAAAAGAATGAAAAATTTGTTTAAACGAAAATTAATAATAAAAATTAGAAAAGAATAATTAGTAATATTAACATAAATCCCATTGTAGAAGTACCCTAAGAGTAATAGTCCTTCCACAATAAACATATAGAAAGAATTAAAAATTTGTTTAGACGAAAATTAATAATAAAAATAATAAGTAATATTAACAGTAATCCTATTGTAGAAGTACCCTAAAAGTAATAGTCCTTCCACAATAAACATAAAAAGAATTAGGAATTTGTTAAGATGAAAATTAATAATAAAAATAATAAAAGAATAATAAGTAATAAATAATAATATTAATAATAGAAATAATAATAATAACAATAATGATAATAATAACAACAATAATAGTAATAATAATAAATAATAAAATAATATTAATTTCTGAAAAAATTGACTTTTTTCAAAAAAAAAAAAAAAATTAAAAAAAAGGTTCTCTACACATTGCATAGGGAAAGCTGAGAAGAGAAAAATAAAATGTAAAAAAAATGTCGCGAGAGCGAATACAACTAACCATGGACACTTCGATTTCTCGAAACTAGGAAGTCGAAAGAGTTGACTTGCGAGTCGCGCTCTATGTGTACCCATTGCTCCATCAGAATGTATATACGTGTATATACATATATATATACAACAAGAGACTTTATGGGAGACCGGTTGACATGACTCGGACTCTAAAAATAGCTATATATCACGAGAAAAGAAAGAAAAAAAAATATATATATATATATTCTCATTACTTTTATGTTAATTATTGTCATCACCTTCTAACCTTCCTGTTGTAGATGAAAAATTAAGAAAAAAAGAAATTTTTTTTTATTTAAATCGTTTTCAATACAGAAATTTTTTCACTGCTGATACTGATATAGTCAAGGTTGGACCTTATAGTCAAGGTAGGATCCCTGATGATATATTTAGCAGGGTCTGACTGTAGTTTCTAACGGACCCCCAGCAGGGGCCGTTAGGTTCATAGCAACCGTTGATGTGGTAATTGTTACCGTAGCAACTGTTTCTATATCAAACGTTGCTATGATTTTTAGTTACTATGCCAACTAGTTTAACTGAAACGGTTGCTATAGTAACGATAGGAGACACAACTATAGCAACGGTTGCTATGGTAACGATAGGAGGCATTACCATAGCAACGGTTGCTATGGTAATTGTTACCGTAGCAACTGTTTCTACACCAAACGTTGCTATTGTTTTGGTAACCATAGCAACTCTCTTGGCAACGGTTGCTATGGTTATGGTTACCCTAGCAACTGTTTCCATAGCAACGGTTGCTATGGTTATAGTTCCATAGCTACTGGTTTCATGGAAACCGTTGCTATGGTATAACTGTTACCATAGTAACTGCTTCTATAGCAAACGTTGCTATTGTTTTGGTAACTATAGGAACTTTTTCAACAGCAACAGTTGTTATGGTAACAATAGCAACCATTCTCATAGCAACGGTTGCTATGAGAACCATAACCATAGCAACCGTTACTATGGTTACCAAAACCATAGCAATGTTTGCTATAGAAGCAGTTACTATGGTAACAGTTACCATTGCAACGGTTGCTATGAAATCATAGTAGCTTTGGGAACCATAACCATAGCAACCGTTGCTATGGAAACAGTTGCTATGGTAACAATTACCGTAATGGTTGCCATAGCAACTGTTTCAACGTAGAACAACGATTTTCTCATATATTCTTTTTTGAATTGGCTAAAAGGTGGGGGGATTTTAAGGGTGCACCTGCGGTATTTGTGCACACAACTTGCTGCCAAAGCAAGGAGGTTAAACTTACAATTTTATGTGCATTCCGACACCATGCAGACCTCGTTCAATTCGTCCCTGGGCCTTGTTTGACTGCGGTACTTTTGCCGCGCTTCTCTCTCTCTCCCCACTCACTCACACACACATTTATATAAACACTAACTCTTCCCAAATGGATATCAGGTTTTTGGATCTCGAATCTGATTTCGAATTAAAATGGGTAACCTTCTACTCCTTCTTCTACTTATTCTTCTTCTTCTGCTTCTTCTTCTCTTTCTTCTTCTCCATCTTTATCTTCTTCTTATTCTCCATCTTTATCTTCTTCTTATTCTCCTTCTTCATCTTCTTCTTATTCTCCTTCTTCATCTTCTTCTAGGTGACTCGACAGTTTAGGATTGTCGCGTAAATTCCGTAGAGATTGACCAGACAAAAGAATATTCGATACTCTTTTTTTGGATTAAATTAAGGATTTAAAAAAAAAAAATTTCCTCCACTATAACCTAAAAAATTGAAAATCATTAGAAATTTTCGTTTTGTTTATTGAGTTTATCAATATGTATGTATATTATTTTCTTTGGGGGATTTTGAGGTCTCAGATTATGAATTTAATCAGTCAGATTTTAAAAATTCAAAATGGCGGATTCAATATGGCAGACGATTTTTTTAAAAAAATTCACTGAGAAATCAATTTATTTGAATCAAAGAAATTTTGTTTAAACTATAAACTTAATAATCCTTACAGTCACGCATTTTTCTTTTTACTGAATTCGTTTGAAACTATATATATAATTACTCGGGGGTTTTTTGGGTCGCTGAATACGAATTTGATGACAGTTTTTAAAAATTCAAAATGGCGGATCCATAATGGTGGACAAAAATTAAAAATCGACTGAATTTGCTTAAGACTTGTTACTCGGGGGTTTTTGGGGTCGCTGATTATGAATCTGAGGTCGGTTTACAAAAATTCAAAATGGAGGATCCAATATGGCGGACGAATTTTTTTAAAAATTATTCCGTAATTTTACGGACCAGATTCTCACAATCATTCAATTTTTTTTACAAAGTCCAATAAAATCTGTAATTAAAATATAATTGAAACAAACCGAAAATATTTTTTTTTGTATAGGAGTTCAAGTGGACTTTTTACAATGTAAAAAATTTTTGAGGAAAATTTCCCAAAATCTCTGCGGTGATGAATATTTTCAACTAATAAAAGGTAAATTTCCACTAAAAGAAAACTTGGAGAAATTTTCTCAAGAAAACTCAAGAAAATATCCCTTTAAAATCTTGTGGAATTTTTCCTTTGCAAACATTGAGGAATTTTCACTTTCAAATCTTGGAGAATTTTCCCAAAGAACTTGAAGAAATTTTCCTTTAAAATCTTGTGGAATTTTCCCTTTGAATCTTTGGAGAATTTTACCTTAAAAACTTTAGGAAATTTCCCTTTAAAATATTGTCGAATTTTCCTTTACAACCTTGGGGAATTTTCACTTTAAAATCTTGGAAAATTTTCCCAAAAGACTTGAGGAAATTTTCCTTTAAAATTCTTGGGGAATTTTCCCTTTGAAATCTTGGGGAGTTTCACCTTAAAAACTTTAGGAAATTTTCCTTTAAAATCTTGTGGAATTTTCACTTTGAAATCTTGGTGAATTTTCCCAAAAAAACTTGAGGAAATTTTCCTTTAAAATTCTTGTGGAATTTTGCCTTTGCAACCTTTGGGGAATTTTACCTTTTAAAACTTTAGGAAATTTCCTTTTTAAAATCTTGTGGAATTTACCTTTGAAACATTGGGAAATTTTATTTTTTAAATTCTTATGGAATTTTCCCTTTTAAAATATTGAGGAATTTCCCACTTCAAACTTTGGGATATTTGTACTGTAAAATTCCTTTATTAAAAAAAAATGTCTCTTCAACTTTTTTTTTTTGGAAATTTTCATAAATTTTGGGAAAATTTCACAAAGCTTTCATAAAATGACATTTTTTTACTATTATGTGGAAAAATCTTAAAATTCCCTAAAAATTTCTATACAAATTTCCCTATTAAATTGTTGAAATTTTTGACTATTTTGCAGAAAATTGTAAAGAAAAATTTTCTTTCCTCACTTTGTGGAAAATTTACTAATATTTTATATCAATTTTTCCCAAGTTATAGTAGAAAATTTTACTAATTTGTGGAAAATTACACAAAATCGTCGTAAAAATATACTTTTTCTCTTGAATAATCTAAATTATTTACTTTTTATTTATTTTTTTTTAACTTTATTATTTTATTTTTTTTATTTATTTTTTTTAACTTTATTATTTTATTTTTTTTTTATTTATTTTTTTTTTAACTTTATTATTTTATTTTTTTTATTTATTTTTTTTTAACTTTATTATTTTATTTTTTTTGTAAACTTTTTTTACTTTTTAAAGATGATTTAAGGCACTTATTTAAATTGACCGAATTATTGCTTAGATTTTTCAGATTCGTATTCAGCGTTCCTCAACAGTATAAAGTTACGAAAATTCATTTTCAACAAACTTTTGACCTAAAACCTCTTCCTAAAACCGAAAATCTGTTATTTGCAAAAAAAATTTTCCACCTTAAAAACTAAGAAGTCTTTTAATATCGCATCATCCGAATGATTATGGTGAATGATTCTCCTTTCTCTTCAGGAATTTTCGTGTATAAAAATAAACTTCCCTGTTTTAGCCAAAAACAAAAAAAAAAAAAAAAAAGTAAAATTTCTCAAAAAACAAAAAAATCGTGTTCCTAATTGGCTTTTAATTGTAGAAGTGAAATTTTGGAAATAATTTGGAATTTAAAAAGAATGTTTTTAAAGAGTCAAGTGGACATCCATATATATACTCTGTGGGGTACTTCGCGGCAGGGTTGCTTTTCGACTTATGGGGTCCTTAAAGGGGCGTTTGGACACCCACACTGGAGATGTCGGTTCTTGATAACTGGTATATACCCAAGAACCCGAGGATAATAGCCTCTTTCTGTTCTTTTTTTTCCTCTTTTCTTTTTCTTTTCTTCTCCTATAAATGTATATATATACATACAAGAATCCTCAAGTTGTTAAGACCATGAGATGACCTTTCCACAATATTGTGTAAAGATACTTGACTTCCGAACAAATTTTCTATTCATACAAAGACACTAAACTCTCCATTGTCCATCATTTATAGTTTTCTACAATGGAATAAAGTATGACACCTTAGAAATGCTAATTTCAGTCAACAAATATTATGACGAGAGTCTTATGTGTTATCAAAAAATTATTTAAATCCCATCGCATAGTGCGAGAGGTGAATAAAAAAAAAAAAATTCAATATCACCGGAATTGTTTCCCAATTCTTTTATTCTCGTTTTCTTTTTCAATATTGATAGTTATGGACCACCACAGGTGATTCGATTTTTTTTCTCTCATGATGAGATGTCATTTATTATTTATTTATTATCATTGAAATTTTAGGAAGCACTGATGGGTGCATTGAAGGTGGGAAAAAAATCAATTTTTAGAGATCAGATATCTATCATTCGTGAATGGAAAAACAGACGTGTTTTCGATTCCTGGTACTGCGAAAAAAAAATAATTAATCAAATTTGTTATTTGTTTTGTGTTTTCTTCTATGTATGTCAATCATAAATTGATTTCTCAAATTTATTATAAAAAATTTCGACAAAATTAAATATTTATCATAATTTTTATACAATTCTTCACAGTAAGGAATAATTCAAATACTTTCACTCATAATATAACATTTTTCATTAAAATTCAATTTTTAAAAAAAATTTTTTAATAAAATTCTAAGCATCAATTATTTTTATAAATAATAA